AACTAAAAAAGTATCATACGTAGAGACAAGGATATTCTAGGAAAATACAAGAACAATTCAATTAAGTGTTGCTCAATACAATCGTCATATCCAACAGACAGGAACAAAAAAAACGAGGAAAAGAAAAGAAAAAAAGAACACCTCGATATGTAAACGAGAGAGTGATATCAAAATCGGTGCAACGTTCGCGTATAAGAGGCAATCTATACATTTTTTTTTCTTCGCCATCGAAGTTAAATCTAAAGAAAAGGAAAGAAAAGCATAATGATACAATAATATTATATAGAAAAAAAATACATGGCAACCATTAAAACTTTTTATTTTTCCAGCATTCGCTGATATTAGATTTATAAAAACTCATCTTTTTTATTTATTATTTGTTTTCTTTTCCTTTCTTTTTAATCCTCTTATTCTTTCAGAAAAACCCAAACAATAACACCCTTTTTCAATAATAAATAAAACTGTAAACAACTAATATATGCCACTTATTTGATTATCATATACTATCTGAATGCTTATTGTTAAATGATTTTTTTTCTTTCATTAAATGGTTTTTCAACTAAATTCGTTATATTTGTTACTGTTTCTATTGTCATTTGTTAATCTTTAGGAACAATAAACTACATGTTTAAAAACAAGAGTACGAAAGACATACGGTTATAAACAACTAAAAGATGTTAATGACGCACTTTCTCCGTTTTGAGTTTTCTATACGTTCGAGCGCCTTCCTTACAAAAATGAAATCATTAATATTAACAACAAGTGTGTGCAGAAGCGAAACTTTTTCTTTTTATCATTTTAAGAGATTGTGTGTTAGTTACTTGCAGACCTTTCTAACTGATTTTCATTTGTCGTCAGTAGAGATAGATCTTGCACAATCAGGTCTATTCTATGTTTTCAAGTATGCTGAATAATTGTTTCTCTGAAATGTATTGTCTTCATTCAAAACAATATTCTGCATCTTAATTTAGAAGCAAAAAATCTTCTATCTAGTTTCGATTCGTCCATTCCAACATGCAAATATTCTTTCGCACACATTTTGCATTTCTTGGTTTAATTTTTGTTAAAAGATATTAAACTACGAGAAAGTGCAAATCTCGATCGTTTTGTGAGACTTTGAAATATCTCAAAGTTATAAATTTAGTTCGAAATTAGTATTTTTCTCTTTGATTCTAATCAATTGCTGTCGTCAATATCGTCTTTGGGTTCTTTCTTTTGTTGTGCTACTTGAACCGTGCTCCATCATGGGTTCTCTATTTTGCAACAAACCGTTCCCAAAGGGCTTTTTCTTTTTTTTTTACTTCATATCATGCTTGCCACCTGTATTTTCTATTCTTTCATCTTTTAATTTACATAAATGCTACCCGCATTTGTAGATGATGACGTAAGTATATTCTTAAGAGAATTCACTTTTATTTCTCTATAAACAGTTGTTGTGTTTGAAGTCAAAAGAGAAGCGATTCAGCTTCTTACGTAGAAGAGGATAGTATTATTTGACAATTTCGTTTAATTGAGACTACCTTTGATAGATAAATTCCATTGCTTAGCGGAAATCTTCACGTTAGTTCCGCGACTCCTATATATGTCTCATCGCTTGAATTTTTTACCGATATCTTTGAAGATTTGACTGAGTTTCCAAGAATATTAAATTCTTAAGGTGAGAGCAAATAATTTTCAGAGAAGATACGATCATAAACTTAAACAAACTACTTTATTCGTACCCAGGTCGAACATGCATGCTCGCAAACCATCGCATACGCATATCGTATACCATGTAAGTATATGGAACAATACAATGTGAAACAGATTAAAACACCAACGGATGGACACTGTATACGGAGCTACAGGACTACCGTATACGGTCATATATAATCGTGCGACCGTATTCGATCCTCTACGATCACTCTATGTGTTTCACATCGTGAGGAAAGATCAAGTCAAACACAGTAAATAGTTCAGTTTACATGATTTTTATTTAATTTATTTTAGACCATTGAAATGAATCAAATCAAGAAACAGTGAGTATTATATTCTATTTTATTTTATTTTCTCATACTGCCTTGTACATATTTTAGATGATGGCGATAGATCATATCAGAAAACATGAAGTATCGTATTTTAGTTTAGTTTAGTTTAGTTTATTGTATTGTTTTGTTCATAATTTAGATTATTCTCCTGAATTATATAGAGAAAAAGTGAGTATTGCTTTTTTTATTTTAATTCTGTTTATTTATTTTATTCTATTATCTTGTACTTATTTTAGGTTGTTGCTATGCATCATATAAAGAAATGGTTAGTATTGTATTTTATTTTTTTTTAGTTTTGCTTATTTTATTTTATTCTATTATTTTGCACTTATATTAGATGGTTGTCATGAATCATACAAGGAAACAGTGCGTATTATATTATTATTTTTATTTAGTTTATTTTATTGTCTTTTACCTGTATTAGATTGTTGTCATGAATCGTGTCAGGAGACGATAAGTATTGTTTTTTTATTTTCGTTTAGTTTATTCTATTGTCTTTTTTTTATTTTAGATTGTGGTATTCCATAAAATTAGAAAACAATGAGTATCCTATTTTATTTTTTACTTCTGTTTATTTTATTCTACTATTTTGTACTTATTATGGTTTGCTGTATTGAATCATCTCAGGAAACAACGAGTATCGTATTTTTTTTTGTTTTATTTTTTGTTCTTTTTATTGTATTGTCTGTTACTTAGTTTAGATTGTTGGCTTGAATCATGTTACGAAACTGCGAGCAATTTATTTTATTTTTTTCAGTTTTGTTATTTTTATTTTATTCTATTATTTTGCACTTATATTAGAGTTTCTTCTTGAATCATGTTAGGAAACAGTGAGCATTGTATTTTTTGTTAGTTTTCTTTATTTTATTGTAATGTGTTATACTTATTTTAAATTGTTGTCATGGATCATATCAAGAAACAGTAAGTATTGTATTTTCTTTCTTTTTTAGTTGAGGTGTTTTTATCGTACTGTCTTATATTTATTTGAGATTGTAGTGTTCCATGGAAATCAGAAAACAGTGTGTATCGTATTTTATTTTTTTATTTTTTTTCATTTAGACACTTAAATCAAATTGTCAAGTAGTCAAGATGATTCTTATATATAGAATTCTTGTTTTTATTTTAGATTTTTCAATAGTAACTTATTGTCGATGAGTGTGGATATTGTAAATTTAATTTTTAAGTTTTTGATTCAGATATTCCCAGGTCGAACTCGCACGATCGTAAACGACAGTTTACAAAAAAGACCAGAGATATATGACGGCCGTGCAATATTACGACAGAGTCAACATACAGACAAACTATCCTTCTCCGTATACAGTGATATACGGCTGGCGTATATATAAAAACAACTGGGCAGTTTTATTAATAACATGTTTTTTTTAATTTAGTTTTTATATCAGATAATTAAAATACATACGGCAAAAAGAGTTAGTGTATTTTTTCTTAATTTATTTCTATTTATTTTAGATTATTGTGAGATATAGGTGAATAAATTATTAGGACTTTTCTCTTAATTTTGTTCTCTTCTTCTTTAGATTATTCTAATATAAAAATATCAAAGAATAGGAAACATATTTATTATTTTTATTTATTGGTTCTTGTTTTAAGTCATTTATATATATACATCATTGAACAGTAGATATTTTTTGTTTAGATTATTGTGGCATAAATATTAATAAACACTAAGCATATTGTTTTTTTTATTTGTTATGTCTCTTTATGTTAGGTCATAGCTATATATACAACAACAAATGTTAAGTATTTTTATTTAATTTCTTTTTTATTTTAGATTATTTTGTATAGACATTAACGAATGGTAAGTACGTTTATTTTTTTATTTCTTATTCCCTTTTATTTTAGAACATTATCATACTTACATGAATGAACAGTAAGAATATTTTTCCCAGTTCTGTTTTCTTATTTTAGATTATTCTGATATAATGATTATCAATGAATAATAAGTATACTTATATTTTATTTATCATTTCCTTTTTATTTTATTTAATTGGTTTTATATTTTAGATTATTGTGTGTAAATATAAATGAACAGTCAATACAGTTGTATTCTTAATGTATTTTTATCCAGCGATAGGTCGCGATGAGTAGATGCCTAATTCGACTTATAATATAAATGCAGAATTGCATATATATATATACCTCCTAAGCAATAGAACTGTTTTTCCATTAAATTGATGAAATGAGTTGTGGGAAAAAACAATGCAATACCCATTGAAAGGAGAGAAGAAGAAATAGAATTTATTGGTTAATAAATATAGTGTGATCAGCTAGTTTTTTCTATATGAAGTGAGCCATATGTATTTGGCTGACATGTTTGGCTCGCTTCCCATGGCCAAAAAATATGTGCATCATTATGATGCTCACGATTTATACGTGAATATTCGATAAAGAACAAAGTTTTTTTTGTGAAACCATCCTATTCAATTGATGGACAATGATGTGTTTCTATTCTTCACTTCAATCAATTAATCAAGTACAAATAAGAAATATTGAGAAGTGTTCACTTGAGCGACATGTAACACTGAGAATAATTGTTTAACTCATACTAATCTTACCAGTAACTTGTAGAGGTCAGTAAGTATAGTACCATTGTTTATTACTATTTCTCAGTGAATGGTTGTTAATATTATATTCCCATCACTTCTGTCGATGAAATCGAACCTGTCCTATTCGTATTAGTTTTCGTTCTAGATGATGCTATCAACAAATCAATGGTTGGCAATATCACTAATTATCAATGTGATATTACTCTTAGTTATTTATAATGAATGTTACAGAAGCCATTTAAATTTGTCGATAAATAATTCTATTAATCAAAGAAACAGAAGTGATTTAAATTTGTTGATAAATAATACTATTAATCAAAGAAATACAATTGCAAAGTCCTCTTATATCCATCCGATGTTCACAGATTCTGAAGCAAATACATGTTACTCTCTGAAATCTTTAGTAATGCCTGAAGAGATCATCGATTTAAATGCAATAGTTGTTAATCGTCAACCAATTAATCCATTAAATACGCCAAAAGAAGTAACATTTAATCAAGTGCATTCAATATTATATGGAGATCCATCAACAAAATTAATCTATGATAGTGCTCAAAAATATTTTAATAAAGCATTTGATCCATCATATCCAAATACATCTCTTAAAAAAGAACTTTTTAGTTTAATTATTCAAAAGATTCATGCATCATTAAAACTTCAATTTGTTGTTGAAATTGGATCATTTACAGGAAATTCTGCTTCGAATATAGGAAATGTTTTAAAAAAGTCATATCCAGGATCATTTCTTTTATGTATTGATACTTGGCTTGGAGATTTGAATATGTGGGTAAATAAAGGTGTTTGGCAACATTTATCAGTAAGTGAAGATGGTCGACCAACTGTTTATTATCAGTTCCTTACAAATATTGTAAAACAAAATTTAACTAAAATAGTTCTGCCAGCATCAATGACATCAATAATTGGTGCACGCTTTCTTCAAACATATCAATTTCATCCACAAGTTATTTATCTTGATTCAGCACATGAACAAGGTGAAACATTAATTGAATTATCATTATATTGGAATTTGTTACAACCTGGTGGAATTCTTATTGGTGACGATTGGTCATGGCGTTCAGTTCGATGTGATGTTAAAAAATTTAGTTATATGAAAAATTTAACTATACAACATGTTGAAAATACTTGGGTTATTAAAAAACCAATAAATTAATTTGAACATATTTTGTTCTACTGACATATGCAATTCTGCCACTTTCTTTGCTTTTACCCGCAAAATTCTGCTTTTCTTCTGTCGTCTCTGCTTTTTGGATCTTTTTTGTCTTTTATATTTTCAATCGAGATTCTCAATGTTATTACTTCTTCTTACTCCATCACTAGACTTTTAAAAAACTCTTACGATTTTTATTTTCATTACCTTGCACTAATGCTTATATTGAATTCGTATTTTCACAAATAAAACATTTAGTAAATGACAAGCGGAACTGTATGACAACAGTATTTGCGTCAACTGAATAAAAAATACATTTTTATACTATTTTAAAATAGGCTCATATGTATAAGAATAGTGTATATTGTAGAACCAGGGTATATTGAAAGCTATGAGGACAGATGAAAAATGTACATTTAAAACAAATGTTCTGTAAATGTATTTATCTATATTTAATTTTGTGCACTAAAATATAAAATATGATGCCAAAGTTTCTTATTATTTTATTACGACTGGACTTTAACCATAGTTTGATATGAAAAAACACTTTCTGTTTTTTATAGATCATTTTCTACTTTTCGAATGGCAAAAGGTGGCCGTACTGAATATAACTTGTTAGAGTTGTTGCTTAATTTGTTTACATGTAAAACGAAGTTAAAACTTCATTTTGAAAATTCAAAAAATTTTATCTAACTAATCTAGTATTAGATATTTTTTACAATCCCTTTGAAGATGTACATATTTACAAAGAAGTCTTTGTTGTATGATGAAATAATTAACTTAAAAAGTTTGCCCTAGTTGATGAATATAATAGTAAGTCTCAAAGAAAAAGTATTAATCTAATTCAAGTAAAATATTTTATTCAATTTATTTCAGAGCTAATAATTTAGTTTTACGGTAGAAAAATTATTGAAAAGTATTTACCCAATTTTTGAACTCGTGAAAGTGAAAACTTATTAATTAATTGTTGAGGGTGCGGATCTGGATGTGTTTAATGAATGAGAAGAATACACACCCACACCCACACCCACACCCACACCCACACCCTCAAGATGGCAATAAGTAAATCGACGGTTTCGAAATTTCACGATCATCGTGCTTTCAGTCAGGCCGATTAGTTTTCCACTACATAAAAGTCAGATGACAACAACATGCACATCCTCATACACAAACACGCACACCCTGGTTAGACGAATTTGTGTAGAAAGTTTTAGCAAGAAAAAAAAATCTTATTAAAATAAATGTCAACGCGCTTTCATTTTACTCAATAATAATATAAAGAATCATGCAATATATTGAAAATAACCACATATGCATTTTCAATTTCTTTTTCAATACATACAATTGTCAGTAATAAAATCACCTATTTTGAATACATCTCTATGTATATGAAACCATTGAAAGATGTTTATTTTATTTCTTTCATGAATGAAATATACATAATAATAACTTGTTTGAAAAAATACATATACACAGCCAACGAAACCTATTGCATACATTCATCCTAGGAGAAAATTAATAATAAAAGTCAAGCTGATCATATTGAAAATAATAATAATAAAAGTACCAGCACATACGCAGATTGCAACAGGTAGTTTTTCTTCTATTATTTCTATCATTGTTGAATTCATACCATACTAGTAATACCACAAACAATGGCTACAGCAAATCTATATCAGCCAGTTCAGCGTGATGTTAGTATTTGAATCAAGATTTGTATCTATTTTTCCTTCTTATCTAATGTTTGTTAGCATCGTTTTCGATCGATAAAGAAGAAAGAATCGAATGGGATCATTCACATCACTGTTAAACAAGCCAATACTACGTGTCCAAACAACAAAAAGTCTCTGGATTGCCTTAACAATTTGTGTTCGGTTAGTGCCTTAAAATTTGTAATACTTTCATGAAATCAATTTTATTTTTCATAGATTCCAGCGATAAATAGTAAACATCAAAATAAACCAAAGAAAACATCCATCATTGGTAATTCATTGCAGTCTTCGAAAAACGCAAAAACTTTACTCGACGCTACCAAAATTTATCCACAAGTAAGACAACTAAATATTGAGAAGATTGACTTTTATCTTTATATCATAATCTTTCTTCTTAGGTAGCAGAAAATGAAAAAGAGTGGAATTTATTGCGCAATTATTCACAAGAATCAGACAATTGTTCATCAAAAACTAACAATGATCAAATAATGCCCAAAGACAAGATACATCTGCTAAAATCGGCCGAAGTATTGTTTCATAATGAGGCGGTTGTTATTCTAAATTTCATTTCGAAAATAAATGAATTTAAATAATGATTTTTATCTTTTAGGATCTCATTGACACTAATCAAAGCCGTGCAGAAGTAAGATGAAAGAATTCTTTTTTCACTATCTGACGTTTGATTAAATTTAGATAAAAGATACATGGTCGAATATTTCGAATTATAGAAATAATAATAATCAGAATAAGAATAACACGAAAATGAAGAAGTTACTATTATTTTTCTTATTATGCTGTATTCTGTTTTTACGAAGATTCTTTTTAAATTTGTTGTAGATGTACGCGACGATGTGTCTTTATATGTACACTTGCCAATATTTTGGTCACTATATCCATTGTTATATTTCTTAGTCTATTTTTGACAAAATCGAAAGCAATTAGTAAATCATCTTTTTTTCTTTTTGAAGTTTAGTTACTTGAGAGAATTCCGAGATTTTTTTTGATTCATTTAAATCTGCATATTTATTTGTATTTGACTATAATGACAGTATAAAATATATTTCCATTGTTTCAGAGATGTCCATAGTGTTGCACAAACTTGCACAGAATTTGAGTGCCAAAGATAGCAATAGAAGACTCTTATTGAATCTCATCGACACAAGGATGTGGGTATTTCGAGTATAGAACTCCCATAAATAGTGAAAATCATTCAGTCATATGTGGGGTCTATTTTATATCTGTCTTAGAAATCTTGCTGTGCAAACATATTCATATGACGTATAAAGACAGATTATACAAAACTGTCGATCATCACCAACAACATGGCAGCAGATTCATTTTACTTTGTGAATTCGTATACTGAGAGTATGAGTGTGTATATGGCCATAAACTTATACCAACATTCATACCCTCAAGATGTTATTCTTGCTAACCTTGACATATACATAATAATGAGATGAAACCTAAAAAATTCTTGGAGAAGTTCTTATAAGAGAGACACAGTTTCTATTTTTGCCTCAAGTCCATGCTATACTTTTCTCACTCCATATATCAGATACAACAACCGCTAGTGCTATCAATACTACTAGCATCACGACAACAACTTCTTCGACAAGCACTAGTACTGCCAGTACTACTAGCATCTCGACAAGCACCAGTAGTACTAGTACTACTAGCGTCACGACAACAACTTCTTCGACAAGCACTCGTACTACCAGTACTACTAGCATCACGACAAGCACCAGTACTACTAGCACCACGACAAGCACTCGTACTACCAGTACTACTAGCATCACGACAAGCACCAGTACTACTAGCACCACGACAAGCACTAGTAGTACTAGTGTTACAACAATAACAAGTACTACTAGCATTTCTACGACAACAGGTACGTGACTTATCGGTCTCGCCTTTTTAAATAAATAAGACAGCTTTCGAAATTCTGTATATGTCGAAATACTTGTAATATAATGACACAATTATGTATAGTTATTTCAGAGTTGGAATTTCAATAAATTTTAAGTAACTAATTGAGTCTTATAACTCAAAAATAGTGTTGAGTATCAAAGCGTGGGATAGCATTCTTAATATGACTAGTGAGAATACAGAAGTCAATTATTTGTGAATCATTCAAGACACTAGCTCAAAACATTTCTTATTCCATAGATGGACAATGTATTCAGTTAATATGAATGATTTTCCAACAATCAAATAGCCATTCAGCTTACTAGTTAAAATAAGACTGGAAAGTTCTTATTCTCTCAAAATATCATGTTTTCTTTTTATTCTCGAAAAGTTTCAATTAAACAATTGTATCCATTCTAATTAACCAACAAAAAGCTAGTTCAGTAGCTTTTTTTTACACACGATATTCGTAAAATGCAAAATAATAGTATTCTTACTTCTTGTTTGATGATGTAGACAATTGAGTTTTTAAAACAACATTTTATAATCATCGATAATTCAAATTCGATGAAAAATTTTATATCTTTTTAGTCTCAACTACAACAACTAATCGATTCACTCCATCGACAGCTACTTGTACTAGTACTGTAGCAACACGTAAGTTGTTTCTATTTTTTATAGTGAACTCGTGCAACAACTTTTCACAATTATATAAAAAAAAATACATCTTTTCATTTAGTTTGTACAACGACAACAACGCTTGTTGCCAGCTGTCATAGTTATGAGATGCAGTTTTAACATGTATTGCAACACAGTTTGTTGGTAAAACATATCGCAGTACAATATCGAATAATTGCTGTGTTTGGACTACGGACACGTATGAATGTTACCAATTAACTTCAAACTGTAATTCAGCTGGACCGTTTACATCTGGTCCAGTACTTGGATGTACTAATGCTCAATTACATAATAGTCAACAATTGACATTCTGTGGTAGTAATTAGTTGCGTCAATTTTGCTGAAGTATTATAATCGATACAATTTGTATTTGAATAACATATCATTAATGAAGATTCTGATATATGCCATATTTTTTTCATATTGTTCGATATAGTTATATAAATACATATGAAAACAACGATTTTCTACGTAGATAGATTTCTTTTTATATTTTTAACATCATTACTCAAATAAAATCTCTTAATTATAACTATTCGTCGTTATCAACACTCTCTTTTCTGAAATGAATTGTTTATCAGAGTTATTTCAAACAAATTCTTTCTTTTCAAAATTTTTTATTAAAGGCACACAAATAAAAACTTTTTCCATTTTAAAATTTTGCTTCAGTAGTATAGTCGTTCATGCTCGGTTCATTTGCAGGTTTAATTTGATTATGACGTAAACATATCTTTTTTCGTAATTGTTTCCATAATTTTTTTGTTAAAACAAATTTAACTTGATGACGATATCTTGTACAAAATATTAAAAATATATAGAAACTTGCCTAAATAAAGAAAATAGATACTAATTAAATGAAATAAATCTTGAAAATCACCTACCGATGCATTAATAACTGCTAATGAACTACAAATGATTCCAATAATTCGAATAGAAACTACTTGAAAAGAGTTTTCTATAGTATCTATAACATTTAAATAATAAGTACAATAAATAACATATGGCAGCGATAAAATAATAGAAAAAATAATTCTTATTAGAACCATTGCTGTTAATTGTCGATCGAATCGACGACGAACTATTTGTATTCGTTGTCGAATAATACAACGTACATACGAAATGCTAAAAAACCAAATAGAGATGAAATACAACTATGAAATATTCCATATAATACTGGCACATGAATATATGAATAATAGAAAAAAAATCTTGAATTTCTAATTATACATCCAACTGTTGAATAAATATCACAATACAATATAATTGGAATACCAAATAGAATTGCACAAAAAATAGATAATATCGTTAGACGATATGATAATTTTAATGTACTTCTTCGTCTTAAATAATAATGAGGACTTGTTGCAAAAAATTGATCTAATGCAGCAAAACATGTAATTAACATTGATATTAGACTAAAAGAATTTATTAACATTGTTTTTATTTTACACCAAATAAGTGAATTAGAATTTGCAGTTATTGAAAATCCTATGAATAAAATAAATGATATATGTATAACTATATTTTTACCAATATTAACTATCGCATCAATCATTAAATAAAATACACATGGGTTACGACGAAATGATCGAAGATTAATAAATACAATTATATTGAGTAGATTTCCAAATAAACCGAAAATCGAAATAAAAGCATTCAAATAAATAATAAAATAAGGAGATATATGAATATATTTTTCTGTTGCCGTAGTTGTCATTGAGAACATTTTACTGGAGTTATTTAATAACTAGTTTCAAACAGACTCTTATATACTTACATTCTTAATGTTTTGTTTTTTTTTTAAGTAAAAACTAATTGTTTTTAGAAATTATACTATTAATTTTGATGATGCAATCAAGATACTTATTCATAAAGTGTTACTTATCAAAACAATCTATAATGTTCCAGAAATAAGAATGAAATATACCCAGTTTTGGAAACGTATATATTAAATTAACGAAGATTATATAAGAAAGAAATATGAACTTCAATGATCAAAAATATCCTAGATATTTTTTGTTACAAATACATCATATACGTTTAAATTAAAAAAAGTGCACAAGATGTCACTATATTCTCATGATACCTGTTCTATGATACAATTCATTCGTTTAATATGAAGAGCCACACAGACACGTCTTAGCAACAAGAATAAAAAATAGAATCAGTTGAAACAATAAGCACTTATTTTATTTAAACAATGCCATCATTAACATCTCTTAGTCCATTCGAATGGTTTGAAATTCATAGTAATTCTCGTTCACCTCAACTTCGTATTGGTCATTCAAGTACATTTACTCGTTCGTCTTCGAATATTTATATCATAGGTGGAGCAAATCCATCAGAATGTTTTGCAGATATACATTCACTTTCGTTACCATCACAAACATCTGAAACATTTATTTGGACAAAATTAATTGGAGAAGATTCTGCTCTTCGACGTTATGAACATTCAGCTGCTTTATCTTCAGATAATAACGAACAAATCATATTTTTTGGTGGTGCTAGTACAGAAAATAATTTTAATGATGTTCATGTATTTAATATTCCAACAAAAACAATCGAAAATTGGACGCCACAAGATAATAAATTAGTATCACCACGAACTCATCATTCAAGTTGTTGTATGCAAAATGGTTTATATATATTTAGTGGTGGTTTTCAAGGTGCAAAAGCTGTTGATGATGCAGAACTCTATCGATTTGATTTAGGTATTTATTCATGAATAAAATTGATTTGAGAATTAATTTATTATTTTACTTCTAGTGTCTCATACATGGTCATGTGTACCAGCACATGGTTCTCCACCTGAACAACGACATGGTCATTGTTTATT